CCAAATGATCTTCTATTGTTTTGCTATACACCAAGACATCCTCAAAGAAAACAATCACAAATTTTCGTAAAGATACCTTAAGTACTGAGTTCATGATCCCCTGGAATATGGCTAGGGCATTGGTAAGGCCAAATGGCATCACCACAAACTCATAGTGGCCCTCATGTGTGCGAAAAGCAGTTTTGTAAATATCTTGCTCCATCATCCTAATTTGATGATAACCAGATCTAAGATCCATCTTAGAAAAATGGTTGATCCTGCGAGTTCATCTAGCATTTCCTCCACTGTTGGAATTGGGAAGCAGTGAGCTATTGTCACTTGATTGAGAGCTCTATAGTTTACGCAGAACCGTCAGGTTCCATCCTTCTTCTTGACGAGCAATGCAGGAGAAGAAAATGGATTGATACTGTGGCAAATCACCCCTGATTCTAACATCTCCTTTACCATTTTTTCTATTTTTGTCTTTTGAAAATATGGATATCTATATGGTCTGGCATTAACAGATTTTGTTCCAGGCTCAAGGTGAATTTGATGATCTTCAACTCGGCTAGGAGGTAATTGGGTTAGCTTCTCAAAGACCCCTTCAAATTCTGTCAACACCTGATGTACCCGACTATCCATCCTTGTTGGCTTGCTTGTATAGTCCTCCAGATTGTGTTCTATAGCCTGTAATTGATACAAGCAAGCTACTGAGTTAGAGGAGGTTAATTTGTGAAACTAGTTTAGTTGGATGGCTTCCATCGTCATACTTGGTTCCCCTTTTATCTCCACAACTTGCCCCTTTATCATAAACTCCATGGTTAAATTTTTGTAATTAAAGGTAACATCTCCCCACTCTGACAGCCACTGTACCCTCAATACTACCTCAGCTCCTTGAAGTGGCAACACATACAGGTAAGGGCTGAAATAATGCCCTTATATTTCTACCTCCACCCTCGGGCACACTCCCAAACAATCCATCACCTCTCTATTACCAACCAGTACTTGAAACTTCTGTGTTGGTGTAGTCTCCAGCCCCAAAAATTTGACCACACAATCTTGTATAAAGTTGTGAGTGGACCCATCATCCACTAAGATCTGAACTGAGGTACTGTTGATCTTCTCTTGAATGCGCAAGGTGCTAGTAGAATGCTGCCCAGCCATGGCATATAAGCTGATCTCTGGCATTGAACTCAGTTCTCCCCCTATTTTCTCGTTGTTTATTTCATGTTCTAACTCATGATTTTCCATTTCATGTGTCTCCTCGTCCTCCTCTTGCACCATCATAATAAACATCTTTGCCTTGCAATTATGGTTTCGGTGAAATTTCTCGTCACAGTAGTAACATAACCCCTTCTCCCTTTTTTCCATCATTTCTGCAGTAGTCAATTTGTTTATAAGCATTGGTGCTTCCAGCTCCAATAACGGGAAATTTTTGTGGTGTGGGCAAAATTCTCAGCTGTGTATAGGTATTGGAATTGGTATTGTTGTTGCGGTTGTATATTGTTCTCCAAGTACTTTTGTCATTCATCTTGTCCTCCACTAATTTGGCAAAATCGATGGCTTGTTCCAGAGTTTCAGGCAAATGCATACGTACCTCCTACCTATTTCTGTTTCAACTCAGATTCAAAGAAACTTTGGAGGCTCACATCATTTATTCCGATCACCTGATTGGCCAGATGTTCAAACTGTGATTGATATTCAGTCACTGTAGTGTTTTAGGTCAGTCGACCAAGCTCTCCTCTCAAGTCACGATACCTGGAAGGGCCAAATCTGCTGCGCAAGGCAATCAAGAATTGTTCCCAATTTCTCAGTCGTCCATTCCTATCCATCCAATGGTACCATTCTTCTGCATTACCATCCATGTGAAAGGAAGTTAGTGTAAACTTCTCAGCATCAGTGAGGTTATGAAAACCGTAGAACTGCTGAATTTTGTGGATCCATGGTTCTGAATTTCTGCCAAAAAATTGAGGAACTGTAAGTTTCATTGATCTAAAGGCATTATTCCCAGCTTCTAAATTGGCAGGACATTTTCTTCATTTCTATTTGGTGCTTATGGACCTGGAGAAACAAAGAGATTCATGAATCTGACTTCAACAGACCTGCTAATCAGCCAAGGTTTATGGAGAATTACATTCAGGATATCAGACAAGCGATGGGTAGACAGGTTCCCCAGCCTTCGAATCAGACAGCTCGCAATTTGGTTCGATGAAAAGCCCCCCATGTGGGTTGGATGAAAATGAATGTAGATGCAGCAACAAGATCTACTTCTAGCTTGGCGTCCTGTGGAGGCCTCCTCAGAAATGATCAAGGCAGTTGGGTGGCAGGATTTACCTATTTGATTGGCAATTGTGATACTCTAACTGCATAGCTTTGGGCAATTTTAAAAGGGCTTAATACTGCATGGGAGGTGAATATTAACAAGCTTATTGTGGAAAATGACTCTCTACAGTCCATTCAATCGCTGACTGGGCAAAGGAGCATCAGCCACATACAGGCTCTGGTAGAAGCTATCCAGAAGTGGAAGGAGAAGGATTGGCAACTTGTCTTTAGCCATGTGCTAAGAGAAGGAAACTCTTGTGCTGACTGGATGGCCAAATCTGCCTTCCAGGCACATAATGAATTTGTTTTATTGTCTAGTATCCCTTCTGGTTTGGATCTGTTGTTACAGAAGGATGCTACTAGTAGATAGCTTGTTTGTTTTCTGTTTTTGGGATTAAGCCCCTTCTGTTTACTAAAAAAAAAGGCATTGTTCCCAAAGAACCTTCCCAGGCCTTCGTTTGATGAACTCTCTATTTTAGTTTTGTGTTTCTGATTCTAATCCATTTTTGCCTCCATTAGCGTTAACTTCATATTCATTTCTTGCAACAGTTTTCCCAAGGAATTGAACTGATCCTCATGTTGTGTCAAGCGTGTCAAGCATTCGTCAATTGCATTGTGTTTGACTGAGCTGCGAGTTCCTTCTGCCATGATCGATCCAGAAGTTCCTCTCAACGAAAGCACCAAAAAATGATAGCTACTACACAATTCTAACAAAGATTAAGTATCTGTGTAGTATTGGATATCTGTATAGTATTGGATTAACAACGACAATTTGAGGCTGCCGGCAACTCCATAATTACATAAGAGAAAGAAGAGAATCCAATGTACGTTTTGAGATGAGATCTACAGAGTAATCAGATCTCCTATTTCCTCGAAAAGAGACAACAAAGCCACTATGGGTTTCTACACTCCAGGCCCACTACAGGTAATACTTTATTTGGGCCTTCCTTCCTTTATTTACTGGGCCTTTAGATAATCCTTAGTCCGTCTACCTCTCATATCTACTCTATTTCCCCTTTTAGGAACTTCTTCTGCTTGTCTACGAGGTTCCTCCACCTCTTCCTCTGTCAGTTATTTACCGCTGCCACATGTGTCCTCTCTGTCTTGCCAAAGGATCGTATCAGTTTATTACTTTTGCAAAATTAATCCCTTTTATTTATTTCACAAGCATTTTACTGATTTTGTAGCATGACAATGTCACAATGTTTTCATCATTATATCGAGCATGCAACGGTCGAATGTATTAAAAACGAAACTACAAGTAGTTTTATACGATGAGGTTTCCTCTAAAGCTCATTTAAATTATACCTTCTTCTCTTTTAGTTTCAATGGGACATCTTTTCATAAAAGGCGAAAATTTTAAAACGAAGGATAACTAAGCATAAAAAGCTACCAACTAAAAGAAAAGGTATTACTTATTAAGAAACAGAAAAAAAAGTATTTCTAAATTATTAATATTCAGTTAAAGAGGCAGAAAAGTAGACAAAAAAATGGAAACTAAACATTTATGTTAAAGGTGTGTTTGGTACAAGTTTTTGTAAAAGATACCTAGGCAAATGGAAGTGGTATTTTTATTTGTCCATATTTGGTATCAAGTTTTAAAAAAATTTGCTGGGAAAATTATTTGCCCAATATTTGGTTTTTGTGTGTAAAAAACTGTTGAAAAAAACCACCTACAAAGTGATATTTGCTTATAGATGGGAAAATTCAAAAAGGACAGCAAGCAAGGAGACCAAAATGACCCTGATGTTGAGAAAAACTATTCAGCAAACTAAAATTATATTTTCCCATTTTATTTTACTCAAATTCTTTCACTTATATTTTACTTTCAACCGAAGATAGACTTAGTAAACTAAAACCAATTTTTTCGGCCTATCAAACAATTTTTTTTAAACTTTCTTACCAAACTCACTTTCCCACCATATTCCTAATAATTATATTTTCCTGATAAAAAAAAATTCTCTTCTAGCAAACACCATTAGGGATGCTGGCCTAGGTGAAAAGTTTTATGGCAAGACGTATCAGTGAAAGAACTGGTGTAATGCTAGCTTATTTGTTGTTTTATTTGCTACATTGGAGTCATTTATAATTAATTTTTCTTAGATTTTAGGGTGTCAGTTGAAAAGTTTTATGGCAAGACGTATCAGTGAAAGAACTGGTGTAATGCTAGCTTATTTGTTGTTTTATTTGCTACATTGGAGTCATTTATAATTAATTTTTCTTAGTTTTTAGGGTGTCAGTTGAAAAGTTTTATGGCAAGACGTATCAGTGAAAGAACTGGTGTAATGCTAGCTTATTTGTTGTTTTATTTGCTACATTGGAGTCATTTATAATTAATTTTTCTTAGTTTTTAGGGTGTCAGTTTTATTTTCCTCTCGCATTCTTAGTCATTAGCTACATGTATTTGATCTTGTAAAAACTCTTGCCTACAATTTAAATACCATTTCTTTCAAAAATAAAAATAAAATAATATCCTGCCCTTATAAGAAAAGTAGGTATAATATGTAAAACTAAAGATAATATGTAGAACTAGATGATTTACTTCAATCAGAACATTTTTGATCATTTGGTTTCTCGTATCAAACTTTTGATCAGTTAATCATATCAAATCATTTATTTCACGACCGAGCGAGGCGAATACTGTGAAATTTTCATACTAAGGTAAAGAGATCACAAGGAGGAAAAGAAAAGTATACTCGTTTGCAACCCCAAATAGTAGCTTTTAAAAATAAACTTGGAACAGTAAAACTAACATCAGCAGTTATGTCAGTACCACTAAGTAGCAATGCACAACAATAACAATAATAATAGCCCTGGCTAATACAAGATAGAAAAACAAAATGCACCAAACCAATGTGAAGTTCATACTCCTGACTTGCGCAATTCAGCAGCTCCATGTGCAAAGTGACATCTTTCTCCAAAGGTGCAAGATCCTTTTGTAAAATTCTCACACAGCTTGGTCTTGAAGTTGCTTCCACGAGATGCTGGGGCACCAGGAAAACCTGGGGTGGATTTAGGTGGGGCAGACATTGACAGAGTCACAAGTAAATCTTTAACCATGTTACTTGCTTGTTCAATTTGTTCAAAGCTTCCCTCAAGTTCAATGTTTCTAAGATTTGGATCAGATTCATGTTCTCGGATTGAAAGTTTGGCACCTGTTTGGCGACAGATCTGCTTTGAGTTCACACCACCCTTCCCAATGATAGCTCCAGCAAGGGAAGCTTCTACACTGATCTTGGCAGTGGAATTAGCACCAAAGCTAGCAGCCCGACCAGGAGGAGCAGCATCCATTCGGCCACCCATACGACCAGTGGCTGTAGGTCCCATGGGACGACGATCATCAATTGATGGAGCAATAGGTTTGCCAAGTTCCCATTCACCATGGGCAAAATGGCACTTGTCACCAAATTTGCAGCCTTCAGCAGTATTGAACTTGTTACATACACGGGTTTTAACCCCAGGTGGTGCAGACCCATTAGGAAGAGGTGGTGGTGCAGCAACATTTCTAGATGGAGGTGGCGCAGGTTTTGCATTCATCCTCTGGGCAACAGCATTAAAACCTCCAGGAATATAATGCAAGAAGTGGCAGCTCTCACCAAATGGGCATCCAGCAGTGCTGCAAATGACATTTATGACACAATCAGATTATTATACCAAAGTATTATTATTATATAAAATGAAAGTGTCCCCCTTTTTCCACTCCCTGTTTACTACAGCAAAAGTGAACATAGTCAATAATTTCCACCTTAAGTTAGAGTTAGGAATGTAAATATGGAAAGGGATAATGGATTATTTGTCAAGATGCAAAGCAACAAAATAAACTTAGGACAACCAATCATCCAGTGATATGCATAATATGACTGTAAAACAGACACAGACATGCTATGCTCGACTAATTTTAAAAACGGCTACATTCCAAAACCAAATTCCTGAAAGGGAAACACTTAAAGCAGAAACACTCAGCCAAACACAGGCAAGAGACAGGTGATGTGGGGCAGAGATCTAGCAAGGCTCGCTTAAGAGGAACAGGAAACTGTGTTACATATAGTAAGGTAAAAATAGTATGCAATAAGACTATACCCTTCTTATAAATTTAGTTTTTATCAGTTTGAGCATACTCTCACTTCTTATAATTAGAGTAGTCCCTCTATAAAAGTAATGAAGTGTGATACCAGGGTCTATAAAATCTGTGGTATCCCTGTTTTTATAATCTTGTGCATTTTTAACCAGGTATAATTTTAGCATGGTGAGTCTTTCTTATGCTAAGTCAAGGCCTAAATGCAAACCAGTACAGATATTCCACTTTATATCCACCCAAAATATTAAGTCAACTGAGTCAACAAAATCTGAAAACTCTTACTTTGATCTTATAGGAGAAAATAAAATTGATAGAACGACCAGGTTAATCCACTGCTGGTCCAAAAAAATCATTATAAAAAAGCCATTGATGATAATGGCAACTCCACATCAAAGCAAAACAATGAGTTTACAAGTAGACACGTGGAAGCAGTGACTTATCTTCTGTCTGCTCAAAATATACCATCAATGGGACAATTTGTCAGAACAATGCTTATCACAATGTTATTGGTTAGCTTATGACCATATCTCATTGGCTTTAATACACAAAACAAAGTGTACAACCATTGGTGGGAAAAATCCAATGGTGGGTTTACAAATGGGATTAAGTTGATGAACAATAATACTATTTCCACCAATAAAGGATTTTTATACCCAATACGTCATTTATATTGAAAGCATTTTGAATAAAAGAGACATTTTATTGAAGATAAAAGAACTAACAAAGTTAGAATGCTATCAAGTAGTAACCAAAGCAGATCAAGAAGTCACAATCCCCCAGGAGAAAAAGGAAGGAGAAATTTTAAAAAGCACAATTACAATATTAGGGTGTCATACAGTTTACTTGATCAAATTCACCTCTAATTTTTGGCCACAAGTTTAATACAATTGGAATGTGAGACTGGATACAATAGACTAGTTGAACTTAAAGATGATAAAAAACAAATTTCTCTCTTGACAAAATTTAAGAGTACAAAACCATGATACTAATTTCAATGTATATATAACATAATTTTGATTGAGATCATACCTGACCCAACCAATCAAGGTTCATTGTATTAGCTAGTTAAATGCTTACCAATTGAAAGGTGAGTTCATAAGCAATAGAGCACAGTAAAAACTGAAAAGTTATTGTTAATTAAATGGAAGACAATGTTTACACTAATTAAGGAACAGGGTAAAAATGGACAAGGAAAATGATCAATTAATCTGTGCTATAATGTTCCCAATGCCAACGGTCATCCTGCAAATTGTTATCTTTATTGGACTCCATTAATAAACCATTATTCTGTAACAACTGGATTAGACCAAAGAACAGTATGCACCTGTATAAAAGCTTTGAATACCCAGTTAATTTGCAGAATTACACGATTTAGTTTTATAGCAATTACAACAATTAAATCTTAAAATAACTTATAATATAACACTATTAAAAATGGAGAAAATGCAGTTCAAAATATTTATTTAGATAGGATTAGATTAGAACCTGAAAAACTTGGTACATGGCTTCGATTTGCTTCCTACACCAGTTGATAAGGACTCCATTTCTGTTGCAAAACATTAATTACTTTTTCTCAGTTAACGTTTCTATCTTATTAATCTAGTAAACTCTTCCAAAACTTTTAAATTTTAAAAAAATTCTAAATTTTTTGAGTAATAATATATTGGAATTTAAAGAAAGGCTAAGATATACTAGGTCAACCTTGAACTTAGGGTCAGGCGAAATTTACCCCCTTGTACTTCTAATTGAAGCAATCATCCTTAACCTTTTTAATTTTAAAAAAATCTCACTTTTGAGTAAGAATATATTGGAATTTAAAGAAAGGCTAAGATGTACTAGGTCAACCTTCAACATAGGGTAATGTGAAATTTATTGTGCTTCCAATGGAAGCAGTCATCCTAAACTTGCAACATTGTGTAAATTACACTACCCTATGTTGCTAGCTATTTCCTTTAAATAAAAAAATTGTGTATGCAACAGGTATACAGTGTTTAAAATAAACCAGAAATTAAAAAGAAATTTGTTGGGGTAAAAAACTCATTATCTCCCCTTTTCTGTTTATTCACATTTGCTGTCTGTCTTACACGAATATTGCAAGAAAAAAGATTTTTCCTTTAATGTTCAATATGTTTTAGTTTACAATCTATTCCAAGTGTATACATGCAATCACATCCACAATTCCATCAACTATTTCAACAAAACAGTATAAGAAGGTATTTACATAGTTTCATGAGTTTAATCAGGTCAATCACTACAACCAGAGGCACAAGAGATGAATTGCACATAACCAAACAAAAAAAAATGTTTGATTATTTATAACTAATAATAAGTAAGGCAAAAGTGGATCAATGAAAGCAAAGGGTTATCATGTCTTTTAATATTTCACAGCCCTAACCATGAAATGCCACCCACTAAAGAATACACTCTGTCCAAAACAATTGCAGGTTTGTTAACATAGAAAACATTAACCAAATTAGTAACAAACCCATCTCCATAGAAACATGAATCAATAAACTCTTTTAAGATTAGTTTAATTATATTTCAATTACAAGTTTCTAGAACCATAAAAACGCAAACAAGTGCAACAATACAAAGCACAAATAAAAAGGGGGCAAATAAAAAAGTTGTAATGAAAAGAAATTGGAAAGTAAAACAAAAATGAAACCTTGCTTGGTCTTCTTAACGAAGCCATTATTGTTGAAACCAGCTTCAGGCCTTCCTCGCTTGCGGACATCCATTCCAGTAAGATGTAGATCGAGATCCAAACAAAAAGAATCACCTTATGAAAAAGTGCAAGGAAAACCCTAGAGAGAGAAACAAAGATCCAAAGGCAGAGAGAGAGAGAGAGTAGAAGAAATCGAAGGTGGCAAACAAAACCCTAACACTGGTGTGTTAAATAGAAGAGGGGTTTTGGAAAGAGAACAGAGAAACAGAAGCGAAGGGTTCGAAAGAAAAAGATAAACAGAGACACGCGAATATAAATACACACACGCGGTTATAATAATTATTATTATTATTATATTATTATTACAGAGACACGCGGTAAATAATGTTTTTAGGGTTTTAAAAAAATAAAAAAAAAAATATTTTCGACGCAGTTAATGGTTGTTGGTATTAGATTCCGCTGAGGTATGAGAAAAGAGAAAAAGCAAACAATTCCTCAATGTTTTGTTTTGTTAGCTCTCGCCCTCGCCCATCACGTCACGTGCTCCCTTCCCTTTCCCTCGTGACTTATGACGTGCTCATGATCTTATTATTATTTTTTGAGTGAGTGAAAAATGAAAATATTGTTACCAAAAAAAATTGAAAATCTAATTGTAGTAGAATGAATTAGAATTATTATTTTACTATATAGATAATATATAATGAAATTACAAACAAAGACATTTTATTATTTAAAAATTTAATAAATAAAAAACAAATTTATCCAATATTTTTAATTTAAAAAATACAATAATATTAAAAAATGAATTTTATTGTTTTCCTTTTTTTTTTTAATCATAAGCGATTGAAAATGAAAATCTAGTAACAGTAAAATGATTGGAGAACAATTTAAGACAACATATTTAAGTATAAGCAAATATAGGTGAAAAATATTAAATAAATCAAATTGAATCACATTATAAATAACTATATTTTATGAATATGTTTAAAAACTGAATATTTTTTAACCGGTTTAAGAACCAAATCATTTTTATCAACCGGGTTAATTCCAAAAACATGACTACTTTCTCGTTCAGTCTGATTCAACATAAAAATTTAAACTGAATCATGCATATTATTAGGAGTGTAAAAAAACCTTATGAACCAAATTTAGTCATGAACCATATTAAGTCGTGTAACAGCACTTGATCATTAATTGAGGAAATTTACGTATTTTAAAATTCTAATTTTACATGCATAATATGAATAATTTATCATATAAGTCTTCTATAAAATAACATTATTCTAGACTGTAAAAGTATAAACCGTTGAACCGACTTAAGGTATTCTAGTAACCCAGATATTAAATGGGAATTAATGTGTAATTAAGAGCGAAATTAGACAAAAAGGTTTAATTTTGAGTTAAGTCATTTTTGGGATAAAAGTGCAAATATTAAAAAATTTGGGACAATTTACAAAAAAAAAAAAAATTGGGACTAATTTACAATTTGGCAAAATTGATAAGACCCTAAAATTAATTAAAATATACCTTATTTCAACTCAATTAGCTAAAAATCGCAAGTTAAATGATTTAAGTTGTAAGAAGTAAAAAATAGAATAAAAGGGTAAAAAGGTCTTTCTACTCTTAGATTTTTATGTGTTGAATCGTAAAAAATTACACAATCATCTCACATAGTCATTTCATAAAGTGTTGAATCATCCATTCCAAAATTTAACTAAGTTACCAATAAATTCATCAATAATTTTATGACATCCATCACTCTAAAACATCCTTCTAAAACACTTTCATCTAATACACAATTTCAACTTGAGCTCTCTAACTACATCAATCACACAAATCAAGTCTAGAGTTCATGAAATTGATTCACCAATTTAACCAATAAAAGGTGTTGAAACTTACCCACAATCAACTCACAAGACTCCTCCAAGTGATCCCAGAGCAATGGCTTGAGCAAACAACTTCAAAAATCCCAAAATTCCCTTCAAATTTGTGGCTGACTTTGCCCTTTTTTCTCACAAATGAGAGGGTTTCAAGGGAAACTAATAGGTGGGATGTGTTCGGGTGATGATTTCCAACAACTTTGCTCACAAACTTTTCTTGATTCAGAGTAGTATTGAATGAGTTAGGAGGGATTGAAAATTTGAATCAAAACTTCCCCAAAGGCCGTGGAATAGGAGAGAGAAGAGGGAGGAAGGTGAGTGAATAGTGTCTAGGCCATGTTGTCATATTGTCACTTAAGAGGGGTGGTGTAACATCCCATGAATTTAGAAAGTTATATAAAATTCAATAAGGAATATGGAAGCTTGTTGGAATTCGAATTATAATTATATATATATTTAGGTTGGAATTAATTGGACTTAGGGAAATTATTTTTTTTGCATGCTATTAGGGATTAGTATGTATATTTTCTGAATTCGAATATTGGTTATAACTATGTGATTAATTTTGCTTCAAGGAATAAACCCCTTAATTAATAATTAGAGGGTACATAAAATAATAAGGCATGGGTTAGTTCATAAGATAGGAGAGCCCTTGGACATGAATTTTTGGACTCATTTCTCTCCATGGCCGACGGCCCAAGAACCCTAAGTGGGACTTATGTTCAGTCATCATCACTTAGTAACCCTCACACCTTATCTTAGAAAAATTACAAGGCTGTCCACTATTGGCCTAGAAGCTCCACATGGCAAGCTCATCCACCCTTGCAATCCCTTGTTATGCGCATAGGTTGGTAGGAAATTCTGATTGCTTGTAATCTTATACAACCTCAAGTCAGCCTTGTTAAGCATATATCCAATAAAGGGAAGGTAGTCAGCCTGCATGTAATCCTATTGGTTGGAAATCACACCTCTCCTTATCCTCTCTTCCCCATTGTGCGCATAGTGGGAGTAGGGCAAAGTAAAAATTCTGGTCCATTGCTAAAACACCATCAGTCCCACCTTGGTTCTTTCTTTTTATACGAACACCTAACAAAGTACCCACTCCAAAATATATTGTTCCTCAATTAAGTCAGAACCAAAAAACTCTACTTCACACCCCTTGTTCCCTTCCAAAAACTGTGACACATCAAAGGAAAGAACACAAAGAAAACCTTCTCTCATCTTCCACCTCCTTCTAGTCGCGAGCTCCTTGAGCAGGGAGCCAAATACTTAAGCATCTTCTCCTTTGTTTTCCTTGTTCAGCCGAAGGTCCATCATAAGGAGGTGAGCCATTCCCTCTTCTCCTTGTTCATCTCCACACACAAATCAATTCTCATTGGGTTTTTCTTTTTGCATGCACAAGGTTCTGCCTTGATTAAGCCACTACCTCCATTGCATGCTGCTGAGTTTGAGTTCTTGAACATTGGAGGGTGAAAGCTTGCTATTTGTTCGAGTTGGGGTCTTGGTGTGGAGACAAGAAAACGTAAGTAAACCTCAACCTTCCCTTGTGCTTCTTGTTGTTCGACTTTTAGGCATGATGAAAGATAGATCTTTGTTAAATTTTTCTCCTTGCTTCTACCTCTTTTTGAACCGATTGGGTCTTGTACTTACAAGCAAACAGAATCGTTTTTGGGAGCTGGAATATAGTCTCCTTTGTTGGGCATTCTGTTTTGTTGAAATGGGAGGAGGTAGCTAATGTTGCATGTGTAAAAATTTTATTGGACAGCTTGTGTAGAGACTGCCCTTAGCGCACCCTTAGGCTTAGTGTAGCTGAATATGTGAATAAAATATCATGAGCCTCTTTTTAGCGTTGAAAACCGAATGGGTATGCTTGGGAAAGCTTGGATTTTGTTGTTGTTTATAAGTGGATAAAATTATGTGAAGTCAGAATTTGTTAGTGAAAGAACCATGCAAACCGATTGTGAACCAAGGGCCTAGGGGAATAAAAAACGTTATGTAACGTATAGGGAAATTGTGGCATGTAATCCTGACTTGTTATATTTTTGCTTAGGTGCGCATAACCCCTAGAGTGTGGACTGCATTTGGTGCTGTGATTAATATTTGGGCACACAAGGTAAGTGTTTGGTGGTGAAGCCTATTGTGACTATTAGCTAGTGCATGCAATTTTGATTGTTGCTCACATGTGCCTTTGGATTTGTATTCTGTTAAATATCATTTATAATATGCCCTTGGACTTGACATGATGAATTTCTGTTTTGGAAATATTTGTTGTTCAAAATATTGGTGTTGAAAATCCATGAGAAACATGGTACTCTGATTCTGTCATGCTCATATACATCATAAACCCATTTGTTTTTTTTGTGCGTGCGAAACATATCATGGCATACACGCATTATTTTCATGCTGTTTGTGAACTATGAATATTTATGAAAAGAAACATTTGTCTGAGCATGCATCATGTAGGCATCCCTCTTGTACCAGAGAGAAGGAACCGTGGCTCAGTTCGCATAGGTCGCAGTTGGACTTCCCCTCTGATGGGTCAAATGGAATCTCCACTGTGTTAGTTAGTAGTGCGTGCACTGCAGTGCTATGAACGTACATTATTCAGGCGCTATATACGCATTCTGACTACAATTTAGTATCTGTTCGGAAATTTAATTGTTGATGCGACTGTTTTGGAATTCTGTATCTAGACTAATATTGTTGCTTTACTGGTTTTGCTATCACACTATTGGGATTTTTCTCACCCCTTTTGGGGTTCAATTTTTATAAAATTGCAGGAGGTCGGAGAAGCATTTGAAGGGCTATTATTTTGGATATGTGTTGTTTTATTTTGCTGCTTTGGAAACTTGATGTCTGTTCGCTGTTTGTTGGCTGTGTACTGAATGTTTAATGTTATGTAGTAATTTGAAGTCGGACAAGTTGAAATTTTTATTCTGTTTTGGAGCATGCTGTAGATTGAATTTTTTTTTATATTCGCTTAAGACTTATGTAATTCTGGTATTTAATTTGACAAACAATTTCTGCTGTTTAAATTTCGGATTTTTGGAACTAAGTTTTTGAGCACTTTGCGAGTTCTGTTTCTGGGGCTACAGACCTCCGATTGACATATAATTTATATGCACGTAAAGCCCCAGATGTCTAGTTTTTGATTATATAAACTTTGTGTCCAAATTATGAGAATTCGATTTTATATGATTTTTCAAAACAGGAGGATTTCTAGAAAAATTACACTTACAGCAAGCATGCGTTTTTTTATGTCCAGCTATTTTTCTGTGAAACCCGATTCTAATACAATGTTTTTTATTGGGACTGTAAAACGTACATTTTTATTGAATATATTGACGTTGGGACTCTAATCCGCGTAGCAGACTTCTCGCTTGGATGCATACAGGGGAGGGTGTCACAGGTG